CACTGGGCCAAGAATGGGGTGTAAGATGTATTAGGTCATTTTTTTTTTTTTTTTTGAGGAAGGAGCTCATCCCCTCCTCCCTCCCATTAAAAAAAGTGATTTCCTGCCAGATGTTGTACCATTCGCCAACGAAGCGTGCGCGGGAAATCATCCCTGGAGGGTTTTAGTTTTATTTCCATAAAAGCTGCTTGACATTTGGATGTCATTTTAAAATGCTAGTGAAGACGGATAGTCTTGAGTACCGCAGGCCGTGGTGATACTAGGGAGTGTTTATTGAGCGTTTAGAAGGCGCTGCACTGTGCTTAGCATCTCACGTGCATTGTTTCTATCAGCCGGCAGCCACCCGTGACTGAGGCATTATTGTTGGCCCACTCTACAGATAAGAAAACTGAGTACTTGGTTCAGGGTCCTATGGCTCGTAGGTGGAGGAGCTGACTCAGCCCCTGATCTTCTGTTTACCATGACTGGGCTCTCTCCATGGCCCTCCTGGGTCCCCTTTAGTTCTGTGGTGTGTCTTCTAACCACGGTTTATTTGGGACACTGAAGAATTTAAAAATTTTAAGTGCATTTCTATTATAGCATTTATAAAAAAAAATTAGAGGCCCAGTGCATGAAATTTGGGCACAGGTAGGGTCCCTAGGCCTGGCCAGCAATCAGGGCCCATCGGGGCCTTCCTTCATTCCACACCGCCCCCTCGTGGTCAGGGCATGTCACAGTGAGCGGTCAAACTCCTGGTCTCCTGATCAAACTTCCAAGGGGACAATTTGTATATTAGGCTTTTATATATATAGATTTGTATTGCATGGCTACCATGTACCTGGCTTTTTTCTGTGACTAAAACCAAAGAAAGGGTCATTAAGATAAGCTCTCATTCTGCAAATAGCTTAAGTCACAATGTATAATAGTAGTAATTAACCTAGCGTGCCTGGTGCTATTAATGCTTTGTGTATATGGTACATGGATTCATTTAAGAGAAGGTAGATGTATTTAACAGTTGAGTATGCAGTATCCCATGATGGCCGCTCTTTGAGCCTGAGCCCCGAGAAGGGGACACATCCAGACAAGTAAGGCCAGGTATACTCTCAGCAGAGACCGGAGAGCTGAGATAGGCCTGGATTTTCATGGTGGGCTGTGGGGACACATGGAAATAGGGGTGAACACCAGGACTTGGCTTCACTGAAATGATGTGACTGGGGCCAGGCACCCCCCTCGGGCACTGCCCTTGCCTTGATTTCACTCAGAAATCAAGCCCAGCATCACAGGCCTCAGAAAGTCACTGACTGTTCAGCCTTGCAGACTTAAGGGCCAAGTCCGCCACCCTGGCTTGCGGTAGACATCCGTTCCAGCAGGTTTTTAGAATGGATGTACGCCCAGTGTTTGGAGGGAAATCTTTGGGGAAATCCCTCTGCCGAGCTGTGGAAATCGGCCTGAATGCCACGTGACTGCTCTGTAGCTAAGCCCAAAGCCCCCCTCCAAGTGGCCGGGAGGAAGAGTATGAGCCACAATTGGATGACACACGTCGGATGTTGCATGAGTGTGCAGTTCCCTCTGCCTGCTCACCCCTCTCTTCTTACCCGTCTCAGATTTCTGGTCAGACATTTCTTCTTCCTAAGACGTTCTCCAATTTCCCGGAAGCTTAGTCAGTCCCTCTGGCACGTCCACACACCCAACAGCAGCCCCATGTTTACTGGAATGGTGCCCTTTTCCCAACAAGACAGGACCAGGTCTGTGCTCCAGAGCGTACCTCCGTGTCCTAGCACCTACCCTAACACGTACACATTCATCGATGAGTCTTCTCAGCCGTCCCAGCGTATTAAATGTTTGCCTTTCTTAGGAGCCATTTTGGTAAGCGGCTTTTTTTTTTTTTTTTTTTTTAATATTGTGGTCACACCATTTTATCATCATACAGCCTAGATCCAGCCTCTTAAGATTAGTGATATCAAAAGGCTCAAGGCTATTGATATAACCTGTTGAAGTTAGTCTCTTTTTCTGATGGATCTTATATAACTTGAACTTGCTCATTTTGAAAATACTTCAGGGCTTTGCTAAGTACCAATCCACATCGAAAGGTAATGAAGTCTGTATAAAGGAGGTGAAATAAAAACTATTGGGCACTTTTGCGTGCCCGGATTTACCCTTATCTCTGAAGTGAGAGGGTTTTATCTCTTGATTTCGAGAAACGTTTTGAGTTCTAATCTGGAAAATCTAACGGCTTCCAAACTGGAAACCCATTGGTGGCCATGGTGAGGGGCCTCCGTGAAGTGCTGAAAAGAAACAGGATGGCCGGGACCGGTTTGGCTCGGTGGATAGAGCGTCGGCCTGCGGACTGAAAGGTCCCAGGTTCGATTCCGGTCAAGGGCATGTACCTTGGTTGCGGGCACATCCCCAGTAGTGGGTGTGCAAGAGGCAGCTGATCGATGATTCTCTCTCATCGATGTTTCTAACTCTCTGTTCCTCTCAATTCCTCTCTGTGTAAAATCAATAAAATACATTTAAAAAAAAAAAAAGAAACAGGATGGTCGTCTGACTTCTTACGGTCTTTGTATAGATCTGGGTGGAGCTCCCCCTCCTTCTCAGATCTCTCCTCACCGTCCAGCTCAGCCCTAAGGGAAGCTGGATGTGACATGATACTGCCCCTTGGAGCTCCAGGCCTCTATGTGTGCTTTGCCATCTTGGACACCTCCCCCTAAGCTGGATTCCTTCTTCTCCCCACCTTCCAAAAGGCATTACTTGTGCTCCATATGTTCTGCCAAAGCAATGTCAAGTCTAGCTCTCTATCCCTCTCCCTTCCTCTCTGTAAAAAATTAATAAAAAATATATATTTTTTAAAAAGAATCAACCAGTGAATGCATAAATAAGTGGGACAACAAATCGATCTCTCTCCTCTCTCTAAAATCAATTTTAAAAAATTTTTTTAAAAAAAAGGCAATTATCAAAAGACTGACCTACCAGTGTTCATTGGAAGTATTTTTAAAAGGATAATGCTGATAGAACAACATGAAATGTGAATTTCCATTCTTATGTTGTTATTTTTACCTCTTAGAGGCAGTGGTAGGTGAGTAGGGGATGTTTGGCTGATAGTTTTCCTAGATCAGGAGTCTGTGCACCTGTTTTGTAAAGGGCCACGTGGTGAATATTAGCTGCTTACGGGCCACCTTATCTCGTGCCACAACTGCTCTGACTGTGGCAGGAAAAGCAACCACAGACAGATCATCAGTGAATGGGTATGGCTGTGGTTCCTGTTGTGGGGTCGAACCCTGGCTTTAAAATAAGACCACCAGAGGCTGATGATTAATTTTTTAAAAAAAGACAAGGATTTATTGAAATAAATACTGGCCAGGACAGCCGCAAGAGCACCACACACAAGTGGACTCCAAAGGACTGCACTACTTCAGGGGTAGGCAATTCCTTTTAGAGGTTTAAACCACAGGAATTTTCCTTTGTTCTAAATTCTAAATCCTAAAGACTACATTCTAAAGACTGGGGTCAGCCTGCAGGGTTGGTTCCCAGTCACACCCTGCTGGACATTGGAATGTGGCCCTATCTTGCTATAGCCGATAAAACAGAAGCAGAGCTCAGCGGTTAGTCTCTAAAGGTTATCTACAATTTCTATCCCTGAAGCTACGGAGTCAGTGGGAATCCATCTCCTGTGGTCCTGGTCCCAGGCAAGGGAAAATTGCCTTAGCCTCCAGGTCTCCACCTGGAAGCTGAGGCAAGTACCCTGTGTTTTAATCAGATGCAGGGGCCAAACTAGAAGGGTTAAAATTCAAACAGCAGTTTTTACCAAAGTATGGTTGCCATTATATTTCAGTTCCAATAAAACTTTACTTACAAAAACTGCTGGTGGGCAATAGTTTGAAGGGCCTTCAAGTCCAAGGAGTGGAGTTAGATTTGAAACTGTATACTCTAGGGATCTCTTAAAAACGATCGAGCACAGACAGACTTGAGGAAATCTGTTCTGGTAAACCATGGGAAACCATGTGGAGCAGAAAGAGAACTTGATGCTGCAGGTTGCTCCTTTTAAAAAAAAAAATTTTTAAAAAATAAATCTTTATTCAGATTATTACAAATGTGTTCCTCTTCCCCCCGCCCCCTCAATTGCTCCCCTCCACCAGGTTCCCACCCCACCCTCTGTCCTTTCCCCATTTTCAACTGGGTTTGAGCGATGCCTGGCAAAGGATGAGCAACTAATCACCTGTGAGGAACCCAGGGGAGTGTCTCCTTACAAACCTTAACGCACTGTGTACCTTCCACAGCTTCTCCTACACAAGGAAGGCTTAACAAAGTCATGGATGCTGGATTAGAGGCTCCCTGAGGACAAGGACTTGGTTTTCTTCCCCATTGTATACCGGGCTCTGGAACAATGCCTGGAATAGAATTAGCGCTCAAGCATTTGAATGAATCGATGGGGGCAGGAGCGCAGCCCTGGAGCCTCAATGTGCAAGAGTGCTTATCTCTAAGCTTAAGTAAAAACCCTCACCTACTGAGTGTTATTTAAAAACTTCAGACCAGCCGAAACCGGTTTGGCTCAATGGATAGAGCATCAGCCTGCAGACTGAAAGATCCCGGGTTCGATTCCGGTCAAGGGCATGTACTTGGTTGCGGGCACATCCCCTAGCAAGAAGCAGCTGATTGATGACTTTCTCTCATCGGTGTTTCTAACTCTCTATCCCTCTCTCTTCCTCTCTGTAAAAAATCAATAAAATATATTTTAAATAAATAAATAAATACATCAGACCAGCTGAAACCGGTTTGGCTCAGTGGATAGAGCGTCAGCCTGTGGACTGAAGAGTCCCGGGTTCGATTTCAGTCAAGGGCATGTACCTTGGTTTAGGCACATCCCCAGTAGTGGGTGTGCAGGAGGCAGCTGATGATATTTCTAACTATCTCTCTCCCTTCCTCTCTGTAAAAAAAATCAATAAAATATATATTTTTTAAAAATAAATAAGTGAAAACATCACACTGGATACCAATTTGCTGTTTCGTTTTTCTCCTCTCAGATGGCAGACGATCAAAACTCTATCGATCAGAACTCTGTCGGGGAGCAGGGAGCTGGGGAGTCAGCGAGCGAAGATGCAACTGATGCTAAGCCAGACCGATCCTCCTTTGTCTCCTCCATCCTGGGGTAAGTGTCCTTCCTGGCTGGGTTCATGAGGGGCCTGGGCCACTTCTGTGCTTTTCCCACCCACCCACCCACGGGGAGGGGGATATCAGAGAAGGGGGTTTACGCTGTACGGGGGAGGCGTGCACAGGTCCTGCTGGCTCTGTGTGACTAGGTTCCCCCGTGTACTCCTCCTGTGTTTCTGGGACAAGCCCAGGTGTGGGGGAAAGCAAGCCATGGGGTCCCCTGTCCAGTGGCTGTGTGTCAGGGTGGCAGCCGCCCAGAGTGAGGGGCTGTCCTTGCCACAGGTGACTTGCAGCCACCGTCATTGGGAGGAGAGCCTGGGCTCACCCCCACCCTGTGCCTTGAGAGGTGCTCCATTGAAGGGGGACCATCCTGCCTACTGAGTCCCACTTTTTCCCTTACTGAGTTTACCTTTAAATTCTAAATCTCACATTTAATATTAATAATAGTCACTTTGTTTATTGAACTCTTGTATGTTAGCTCAGTGCTGCCTGTAGTCCTTATAACCCTAGGAAACGGTTGTATTGCTATCACCATTTAATAGGTAAGGAAACTGAGGTGCTAAGAGGTCTAATAGCTTGCCTTTCTGAAGACAGTTAAATATGGTAGAGCTGAGCCCTGACCGGTTTGGCTCAGTGGATAGAGCGTCAGACTGCGGACTAAGGGGTCTCAGATTCGATTCCAGTCAAGGGCATGTACCTTGGTTGCGGGTACATCCCCGGTGGGTGTTATGGGGTTGAACCCTGGGTTCAAAATAAGACCACTGGAGTCTGATGATTGATTTAAAAAAGCAGGCAAGGATTTATTGAAAAACTGGCCAGGACAGCCATAAAAGCACCACACACAGGTGGACTCCACACGACTGCACTGTTCCAGGGGTAGGAGGTCCTTTTTAAAGGTTCAAACAACAGGAATTTTCCTTTGTTCTAAATTCTAAAGGCTGGGAACATTGGAATGTGGCCTTATCTTGCAGAACTCAGAGGTTAATCTCTAAAGGTTATCTATAGTTTCTATCTCTGAAGGTTATCTACAGTTTCTATCTCTGAAGCTATCTCCTGTGGTCCCAAGCAAGGGAAAATTGCCTTAGCCTCCAGGTCTCCACCTGGAGGCTGAGGTAAATATCCTGTGTTTAATCAGGTGCAAGAGCCAAACTAGAGGGGTTAAAATTCAAACAGAAGTTTTTACCCGAGTATGGTTGCTACTATATTTCAGTGGAGTGTGTGCAGGAGGCAGCTGATCGATGTTTCTCTCTCATCGGTGTTTCTAACTATCCCTCTCCCTTCCTCTCTGTAAAAAAAAAAAAAAATCAATAAAATATATATATATTTTTTAAAAAAATGGTAGAGCTGAGATTAGAACCCAGGTGATGCCAGCTTCCTTCACCCACTTAATGGTTCTGCTGTGCTTCCCATGTAGAAGTAGGGGCTGCAGAGACGTGGAGGAGCCTCAGACCTCACCTTAACCCTGGTCTCAGAGATTCAAGTGAGCGGGGCTTCCTGAAAGAGAAGGGAACAGTCAGTGAGTCGGAAGCATCAGACTTCTTGATAGCTCGCTCCTAAGCCAAGCCCCACCTGGGAGGGACAGCCAGGGGGGTAATAGTTGAGGTTAGTGGGGCTCTCAGGCAGCGCTCAGGACGGGAAGAGCTGGTGGTGGGGGTCAGCCTGGTTCCCTGAAACATGCTGGAGAGAGCCTCGGGTCATATCATCCCAGACAAAACTCAGAATAGTGGGAAGACCCAGCATCCTGGACCTGAATTCCATTGGCATTTATTGGCTGCCATTTAGCATCAAGAATACCCACTGGAATGGCCAGAAAATAAAGTTCCGGCTCCTGAACATACTATTAAATGGAAATTATGTTGAAATTGCAATTGGATTGGATCGGCCTTAAAAGTTAGCTTATGAATAAGTGGATAAATAATACTTATCGCTGGAAAGAAAGCTATTTAGTATCATCTCTTTCCTAATATTTTTATTTTTAGAGCTAGAAGCTCTGAGGAGCCATGAATAAATGCATGGGGTGGGCGGGAGTTTTGTTTTGTGACTAATTTCACTACTTCTTTGAATGCCTTCCAAGTTCTGGGTCAAAAATGACAACTCATTTAGGTCCTTCTTCAGTTGTTTTGAAAATTGAGAAATGGGAATTTCCTGACTTTCAAATAATTGTTATTCAGCCCTTAGAGACACTTATATTTTCAGTTTCTGGGACATACCCCAAAGAAGCTTTATCAAAACTTCTCTAATGGCCATTCATTATATCTGTTCCTCTTTTCCTTAGAAGCAACTTGTCTAGTTCAAATACTCAATAGAGATACATTAATTTAAAAAGCATTAATGAACATTTGTTACCTGTAGTATCCTTGTTTTTTCTTCCTGGAAAATGCTTTTAGACTATATGCTGTAAAAAAAAAAAAAATAATAATAATAATCGTTTTGTTAAGACCTTGTTGCTACAAATGTAGTTGATTCATTTATGGGAAGTGTCCCCTGTGTAATTGAGTTGACAAAGCCAGTTCTCTTTATCAAACTGGTCAACCATCCAAGACTTGCTTTCCATCAGTTTATTTTCTAGTACTAAATGTGTTATTTGATATATCCCTGTAATAGCCATCTTGTTCCTGAATTCTAATTCTTGGATGGATGTTGGGAAGGGAGGAGGGAGGAAAGGGCACAAAGCCCAGTGCTGTGTTTACCTCCTTGAATAGGTGTTTGCGTTGCTCTCATGGGACTTAAGCTCAACAGTGATGCTGTCCTTGGGAATAGTCAGGGTGCTCGCTGCAGCTGATGGCAGGCCCCTTCTCCCTCCTATCCCACCCCCAGCTCCTTTCTCAGAATTGCTGTCTTGTAAGGTAGTTTAGGGAACATAACACCCTGATACCCACCTCTAATTGAGGACAGAATGCCCACCCACCCTGCCCTGGAAACCAAGGATTCTGGGAACTGGAAAAAAGCCTCCTTTCTCTCCAGAGCCTGGAGGGCACTCTCTGGCCCTGAGTAGCTACCTACTTCAAGCCCTCTGTCCCATCCTGGCTTTTTTGTGTCATTGCCACTAGATGGCACAATAGCATCATTTAATTTTCATTCCATTCCATTGGAATAAATTCCATTCCATTGAATAAAATCCAACCTGTTCCTTATGTTCATTTAAAAACAAACGTTTATTAAAATTGTCTTCTAATTTTCTGATTATTGAAGAACATTTGGAAAACACATAGAACCACAAAGGAAAAACCTCCAAATATTAATTTAAAATTAGAAGTGTTGGGCTTTTAAGAAATGATCGAGAAGAAATACCTTATGGCCCTCGCCAGTTTTGCTCAGTGGACAGAGCATCAGCCTTCCTACTGAGAGGTTCTGGTCAAGGGCACATGCCTGGATTTTGGGCTCCATCCCCGGTAGGGGGCGTGCAAGAGGCAGCCAATCAGTGATTCTCTCTCATCATTGATGTTTCTATCTCTCCCTCTCCCTTCCTCTCTGAAATCAATAAAAACATTAAAAAAAAAAAAGAAGAAAGAAAGAAAGAAATAAACTTATATGCACAGTTGACGTTCATTATGAGCCCTAGTTTATGGAACAAAACCTGGTATCATCTGTGAACGTGAAGAGGGCCCGTTTCCATGTAAAGGTGACCCTAACACCCAGCACAGGTTACCTGCCACCAACTTAACGATGTCCCCGAGTTTATCACGATATACACTTGGGGTCTTATTGAATGCCTAAGCATGGCTACAGAAAATAGTTAATACCCAAAAAACAACCGGGAGCTGTGGGAGGCTGGGGAAAGGAGAAGTTGGGACTTGAAGTGTCAGAGAAAAAGCAGGGGACCAGACGGGGCTGCCTGCCAGGGGCTGGGGACACACAGCACAGAGTCCTGTGTCTCCTGGTGCACCTGATGCACCACCAGGAGCCGTTGCAGGTACATGCCCAAGCCCTGGTTGAGCAGCTGGGCATCCTAGCAGGTGGCCCCGCCCAGGAACACGTCTGCAGCGAAGTCAGATTCCTTTCTGAGCTCCGCTCAAGGTCGGCATTAAAGGAACATTCTTTAAAGTAGCGCACAGATTCCGCTCAGGCTCAAATTCCCTCGGGGCCTGTGGAGCCTGTGTGTCCCTGTCCGGGGGTTGTTTACCCTCTGGTCCTCAGTGAAGAGGGCAGCACAGGCCCACTTTTCAGGACTTGTTAAACTCCCCACTTTTTCGAGGCACTGGCTCAGATCCCGTGAGCTTTCTCCTCTGTGTCATCTTTGCCTTCCTGTCTTGGTCCTCCCAGAGCGTTTAATAAATGCCACTTGGTGGTAATTCTTCCTTGGCAGGGCAACGTGGGTTTCTCCCCCAGTGAGTGTTTATGACGAAAACAGGTCCCTATAAAAATAAAAAAAAAAATGTGGCCGAAACTGGTTTGGCTCAGTGGATAGAGCGTCGGCTTGGGAACTGAAAGGTCCCGGTTCGATTTGGGTCAAGGGCATGTACCTTGGTTGCGGGCAAATCCCCAGTAGGGGGTGTGCAAGATGCAGCTGATTGGTGACTCTCTCTTGTCGACGTTTCTAACTCTCTGTCTCTCTCCCTTCTTCTCTGTATAAAATCAATAAAATATATATATTTTTAAAAAATGTGTTATTTGTGTAATTATAAGAAAGACTCAGGTGGCCTGCCTTTTCATCTGGAAAGGGAAGAAAAAGTGTTTTAGGAAAAGCAATGCTGTAGAATTGAAGGGGGAAGGAAACAAACAAAGAACGCAGAGCTTCATCCCAGAAAAATGTGTTCCATGTTAAAGTCATTCAATCACAACTGTCGATTGCAAGGGGCTGGGGCTGGGCCCCCTAAGAGTAAGGTGACCAGGTGTCCCACTTTTGGAGGGACAGCCCCAACTTTTAACGGTTTGTTAAACCTTTTTAAAATGCAGCGGGACGCAGGACAAATTGTTGAAAATCGGGACTGTTCCGCCAAAAGCGGGACGTCTGGTCACCTTTCCTAAGAAGAAAGGAACATTGAAACATAGCAAGAG